GCGCCCGCCGCGGCGGCGGGAGGCGGGCACGGCGCGGGGAGCCGCCCGCAGAGCCGCCCCCGCTCCCGACGCTCCTGCCTCAGTTTCCCCCCCGCCGCCACGGGCAGCCGCTCCCCGACCGCGCTGCGGGCTCGGGGTCCCGGCCGGGCTGCCCSCTGCCCCCTTGGGACGCCTCGATGSCGGGGCTGGGGCTGGGGGGGAAGGTCGGCTCCGCGGGGGAGCCGGGGGGAGAGGGAGGCTCTGGAGGGAAGGGGTGCTCGGCGGTCTGGAGATGCTCTGGGATCGAGGATGCTCCGCGTTTGAGGGATGCTCTGGGGTGGAGAGATGCAGAGATTGACCGGGGCTGAGGGACGCTCTGGGATCCAGGGATGCTTTGGGATCCAGGGATGCTCTGGGGTCCAGCGATGGTTGGAGGAGGGATGCTCTGGCGTCCAGAGATGTTCTGGGATCTAGAGATGTATTTAGGTCCAGGGATGGTCCGAGGAGGAGGGATGCTGTGGGGTCCGGGGAGGCGCTGGGGCTGAGGGATGCACAGGGCCAGAGGGAAGGGCTGGAAGCCCCCGAAGGCGCTGCCAGGCTGAGCAGCGGGAGCAGCCGGGCTCCTCTGCCTGCCCGGGAACTGCAGGGCTGGGTGAGGGCTGCCCCAGCTCAGGAGACCGTCCTGGGGTGCTGGACATKGGGTGCGCGGCCGGGCTGGGTCACCCCGGTGCCTGCACGGCCCGAGGGCTCCGCACACGAGACACCCCGGCCTCTCCGAGCTTCACGTGTGAAGATGTWAAAAAGGGCAGGAAAAGAGCAGAGCGGAATGAGCAGCTGGGAGCGGAGCCTCCCGCTCCTCGCTCACGTCTTGGCGGCGAGCACGGGTGCGCGCGGGGGCCGCGCGGGCGCAGGTGCGGGCAGGGGGGCCGCGCGGAGCCGCGCGCTGCGGGCGCCTCGGCATTGGCTTCTCCTTCGCAAGGGGAAAGGGATAAATAATAAATAAATAAATAAATGCAAGGCGGATTTGGAGCGCTGGCTGCGCAGGCTGCTGCACCGCGAAACGTGACGGCTGCGGCCCTGCGCCGCGGGCGCCTCGGCTCGCGCGGGGGGGCCCCGCACCGCGCCGCTGCTCCGCTGCCCGGCACCGGCAGCTCCGGGAAGTCTCCTCCGATTACCGTTGCCATTAGAGTCCGCGGGCCCCCCGGCTCCCGGCCCCGACACGTTGCGGCTTAAGCAGAGGCGACGCGGGGCGAGCGGCCCCCGCGGCGGGGAAGCCGAGGGGCGGCCGAGCCGGGCGGGAAAGCGGCGCGTCCTGCCCGGGGGCTCGGAGCAGCCTCCTCCCCGCAGCGCCCCGGCTTGTGCGGTGCCCTCCGCAAGGCGCCGGAGCGCGGCTGGGTGCCGGGGACAGGCGGGAGGGCTGGGGACACGGTAGGAGGTGACCGCGGGTGCCTCGCACATACAGGAGCCCCCGCGCACCCGTCTGGGGGCGGTTTGGCCCAGCTGGACGCTGCGCTGAAGCCCCCCTGGCCCCGGCCACAGGCTTTGGCTCCCCCACGGGAGATGCCGCTTATCCCAGTAAGCGGGAGAGCAGCGAGCAGTTTCCAGCCTCCCGGCCTTGCAACCCTTCCAATTCGCCTCGCCTTCCTGCTTCCCATCCACTCCAGCCGCTTCTCCCTGGGAGCAGGGAAAAGCCCGGGATCCGCGGCCCCGTTTCGGGAAGCAGCAGAGCCGCGATCCCCCCGCCAGCCGGGCTCGGGCAGCGGCGCAGGCTCCCTCGCTGYTCTGTGCCGCGATCCGCGCGGGGACCTGACAGGGACCGTCAGCCGCGCGTCCCCCCCGTGCCGGCGCAGCGAGCGGAGCGGGGGCGTCCGCCCCCATCTGCCCCCCCGCGCGGGCACCGGCGCTGCCCGGACCCAGAGGGGGGCATCTCCCCCTGCAGCAAGTGCCCCCCCCGGGGTGGGGGGCGCCCCCCGGCACCTTGTTCTCGCCGCCTGACCCACAGCAGACGCGGAGCCCGGGGATGGGGGATCCCTGCCGGGAGGGCTGTGCTGAATGCGGGCGGCTTCACAGGGAGGGTCGGCTCCTCTCTGCTTCCCCTTCTTCTTCCCCTTGCCCTTCTCCCCTCCTTCCCTTTCTCCTTCTGCCCCTTGCCCTTCTTCTTCCCCTTCTCCTACTTTCCCTCTCTCCTTCTCCTCCACCTTCTTCCCCTTCTTCTCCTTCTCCTTCTCCTTCTCCTTCTCCTTCTCCTTCTCCTGCTTCTCCTCTCCTCCCTCTCCCCAACTCCGTGTGCTCCTGGAGTCAGAGGAGCTGAGCTGTGGCTGAGGACACAGAGAAACCCCCTCCTGCACCAGGACCACGTCCTGGCCGTGGTGGCGTCTGGGGGGTAGAGCTGCAGGCCCTGCCCAGTGTTGCAGCCCCAGAGCTTGGCCAGTGCCGCTCGCCCGGTTCCGGAGCCCTCATCCCACTGGGATGGATCCCGCTTGCCCACTGGGAAGCAGCAAGTGGGGAGGAGTGACACACTGGAAAACAAGCGCCTGCTGCCCCCGTGGGCACCCGAGCTCACGTGCCCGTGTGCAGACCCTCGCAGCCCACATGCAACCCCTGGAGACCACGTGCAACCCTTGCCACCCACGTGCAACCCTTGCAGACAAAACGCAACCCTTACAGACCATGTGCAGACCCTTGTAAACCAAATGCAGCCCTCGTGCAACCCTTGCAGCCCACATGCAACCCCTGCAGCCCACATGCAGGCCCTGCAGAGCACATGCAGGCCCTTGTAGATGTGGTGCAGCCCACACGCAGCCCTTGCAGATCACGTGCAGCTCCTGCAGCCCGTGCACAACCCTTGCAGAGCCTTGCAGCCCACAGGCAGACTGTGTGYTCCGTGCAGGGTGACGGCTGCAGCCCTTTGGCCCCAGGCTCCTGGGAGGGGACAGCCGGCGAGCAGGGCCCGAAAAGTGAAAGGGCAGAGCAGTGTTTTCCCATGGGAATGGGGATGGGAAGGTGCTTGTGTGTGCAGGAGCGCGGGCGCCAGCTCGCCCTGCTCCGCAGAGCAGAAGCAAGGAGAAAGTCAGGGGACGTGAAAGGCAAATGTGCTGCAAATGCACCTAGCATGSGGGACAAAATAAAGCACTTTTTGCCTCCAAACCGTCCTCCCGACTCAGCTCGGTTCTGCCTGCTCCACTCAGGCACATCCAGCCCTTCCTCTGCCCTCCCTTGACATCTGCCTGTCCTTCCATCCCTCCGTCCGTCCTTCAGCTCTCCCGGGCCTCCGTCGCGCTCTGCCAACTTTCTTTTTTTCTTTTTCCTTTTTTTTTTTTTTTTTTAATTCAATTTTTATTAGCGGCTTTTTTGCAGCCTTGCAGCAATCAGGGCACACAAGCAGCGGCAGAGAGGGGAGCCGGGCTCTCCCGGGTGTCCTTGGGGCCCAGGGGCCGCCTCCGCGGGGTATTTTTACCACTGGGACTGGGGCGGCGAGGACGGCCAAAACCAGCCGAACCGGAGCCTCGTGCTGCAGAGCAGCCACCTAAAAATAGAGGCGAGCGGCGCTGCGTGACGGTGCTGCCCAATGCGCTGCGAAGGACCCGCCGCAGAGCCCTGGGGCAATGGGGAAAATGCCCCGTTTTTGCAGGGTTTGCAACGCGGCTGGGCCCTGTGGTGGCTCCTTTGCAATATCAAGATGGGAACACACTGGGAATGGGGAAAAGCCGAGGGAAGCAGCAGGAGTTTCTGAAGGGCGTATGAGGCTGCAGCCCCTGCTGTGCTTTAGTGGGGTGGTTTTTAAAAGCTTTTCCAGGTCTGGGAGGCTCCAGGAGCAGCAGGAGGTGGTGAAGCGGGTCTGGGTTTTCTGTCCTGCTGCAGTGATGTCTTCGTGGCCAGTGGTACAGGGCAGCCCTGTGGCCGAGCATCCCTATAGCTAAGCATCCCTATAGCCATGCATCCCTGTGGCCAAGCAYCCCTACAGCTGAGCATCCCTACAGCTGTGTGTCCCTATAGCTGAGCATCCTTACAGTCGAGCATCCCTCCAGCCATGTATCCCTACAGCTGTGTATCCCTGGACCCACACATCCTTATGGCAAAGCATCCATACACCCAAGCATCCCTATGGCTGAGCATCCCTACATCTGAGTATCCCCACAGCCGAGCATCCCTACAGTCGACTCCCCTACAGCTGTGAATCCCTACAGCTGAGCATCCCTACACCTCTGAATCCCTAGGCCCACATATCCTTATGGCAAATCATCCCTGAGGCTGAGCATCCCTACAGCCCTSTATCCCTGGGCCCGCACATCCCTACAGCCATGCATCCCTTTGCCCACGCATCCCTGTGACTGAGCATCCCTGGGGCTGCGCATCCCTGTGCTCGCACATCCCGGGCTGGTTTATCCATTCCCTAGGGACACTTGGGGCCGGGACCCCCGCGAGGTCCCCGAGGGCTGCGGGAGGCGCCCGGGGCCGGAGCCCCCCCGTCCCCGCCGCGCGCGGGCCGGTGCCAGGGCCGGCGGGGGGTGCCAGCCGCGGGGCCGCCCGGCGCCTGGCACCGCGCGGGGCATTGAGGCCTCACAGCGGCGCTTTGTCCCCGCGCTCCCTGCAGCTTCCCGGGGCACCGGGGGGCTGGGGCACCCCTGGGAGCAGCCAAAGGAGCTGGGAGCACTCGGGGGAACCAGGGCACCCTGGGGAGTTGGGGCACCCAAGGGAGCCCAGGAGCTTCCAGGGGAGCTGGGGCACCCATGGGAGCAGCTGGGGGAACTTAGGGAGCTAGGAGCATCCAAGGGATGTGGGAGCACCCAGAAAAGCCAGGGGCATCCACTAGTGTTGGGATCTTTGGGAGCATCCAAGGAACCTGGAGCATCCTGGGGAGCTCAGGGCATCCAGGGAAGATGGGAACACCAACAGGAGCTGGGAGCACCCGAGGGATGGGGGAGCATCCAGAGAACCAGGGGCACCCACTGGTGCTGGGGGCTCTTAGGGGATCAGGGAGCACCCAAGGGATCCAGGGGCACCCACAAGCAATGGGAACATCCATGGGAGCCGAGGGTGGCCGTGGRAGTTTGGGGCACCTCGGGGAGCTGGGGCTCCCATGGGAACCGGGCGCGTGCAAAGGAACTGGATACACCCAGCRGCTCTGGGAGCACCCAGGGTAGCCAGGGCACCCACCGAGGACACCCACGGGTGCTGGGGGAGCCGTCACTGGAGACCCCCACCCTGGGGGGCACTTACACCCCAATGGGCGCAATGTGACAGGGGCTGCAGACATGGGGGGCAGCACCAACCCCCCCCCCCACTGCATCCCTACGGAGCGGGAGCCTCCGGCAGCCAAGGGGTGCGGGGGGGCGGGCGGGGGAGGAGGCCGGGGGGGCCGCTCCCTTTAAGGGGGGCGGCGGTCCCCGGGGCAGCCCTTTTCTGCGGCGGGCGCCGGGCAGCGGCGCAGAGGGGAGCGCGGGCGCCCACGTCGCCAGCCGCACGCCGCCGCGCACCGCGCTCGCCATGGGTGAGTAGGGGCGCGCCGGGACACCCCCCCCCCACCAAGGCCGCGCGCAACTCGTGACACTGCCCGGGCGGCCGGGCCCCGAGGGGATGTGGGGCTGGGGTCTCGCTGGTGGCACCGGGGGGCTTCACGGCCCCCCCATGCTGACAATGCAGCGGCTCTGGGGGGGTCGGTGCCAGCTGCGGGGTGCCCGCGCCCCCCCCGTGCCCCCGGGCACAGCGCCGCCTTTGTTCCCTGTTTGCGCTGCCCGGGGCGCACAATGCCCTATTGTCCCCGGGTGCCCATGGAGGGTGCGGGGGGGACGTCGCCGGCCGGCACCCCCAGGCTGCAGTGGGGGGTGCAGGGGCTGCTGCCCCACATGCAGCCCCCAGCCCCGCGCGAGCCCCCTGCCCTCCCCGCACGTGGGTGCCGGGCGCCCCACTGGTGTGACGAGCGCGTGGGTGCTCTGCCCGCCAGGCTTGCTGGAGTGCTGCGTCCGCTGCCTCATCGGGGCGCCCTTCGCCTCGCTCGTGGCCACCGGCCTCTGCTTCTTCGGCGTCGCGCTCTTCTGCGGCTGCGGCCACGAGGCCCTCACGGGCACCGAGCAGCTCATCGAGACCTACTTCTCCAAGAACTACCAGGACTATGAGTATCTCATCGACGTGTGAGTACCCCGCGCCCGCGGCACCCGTGCAGCACCCGTGCAGCACCCTGGCACTCCCAGGGGACCAATGCACCCACACGGCACCCTTGCATTGCCCTGGGTCGTGCATTGCCCTTCTGCACCTATGCAGCGCCCTTGCACCCATGCAGCGCCCACCCAGCGCCGTGCACTGCCCTTGCCCCAGTGCATCACCCTTGCACCCCCCATTGCCTTGCCCCTTGCATTGCCCTTGCACCCACACATCACTCTTACACCCATGCATTGCCCTTGCACCCACACATTGCCCCTGCGCTCTGTGCATTGTCCTTGCACCCACGTCACCCTTGTACCTCCCAAACTGACTTGCCCCATGCATTGCCCTTGCACCCACACATCACCCTTGCACCCATGCAGTGCCCTTGCACCCACGCATCACCCTTGTACCCCATACTGCCCTAGCACCCCCATGCATTACCCTTGCACCCGTGCATCACCCTTGCACACGCGCCTTGCTCTTGCACCCTGTGCATCACCCTTGCACCCGTACATCACCCTTGCACTTGCACCTTGTGCATTGCTCTTGCACCCTGTGCATCGCCCTTGCACCCTGTGCATTGCCCGTGCACCCTGTGCATTGCCCGTGCACCCTCCTGTCCCCTCCCGGCAGCATCCACGCCTTTCAGTACTTCATCTACGGCACGGCCTCCTTCTTCTTCCTCTACGGAGCCCTGCTGCTGGCCGAAGGCTTCTACACCACGGGCGCCGTGCGGCAAATCTTGGGCGACTACAAGACCACGCTGTGCGGCAAGGGGCTCAGCGCAACGGTAACCGGGGGCCCGAAGGGGAGGGGGGCGCGAGGCCCCCCGCGCGCTCACTCGCTGCAGCGAGTGTGCCAGTGTTTGGGAAAGTGGCTGGGACATCCTGACAAGGTGATCTTAACCGGGGTTCGGCACCCCCTGCGCGCGCCCCCCGCGAGCGGCCCCCGCCCGGCGCCGCCGCCCAAAGGGACGCGCACGCCCCTCACCCGCCCCGACCCCCCAAAAAACCCTAAATGAGGCTTTTTTACTGCAAACCCACCGCCTACGGGAGCGGTCTGCATCGTTCTGCCGCCCCGCTTCTGCRTTTGCAGCTCTGTCCCCAAACGCCCCCCCGGTGTCCCCGGGAGCGGCACCCAGGGCTGCGCGTCCCTCGGGGCCCGGCGGGGAGGGAGGGCGGACGACCCCCGTCTCCGTGACCCCCCCTCCGTCCCCATCCCCCCCGCGCCGCGGTGCTCCGGGCGTCCCCGCGTCCCCCCGTCCCCCACCCGCCGCCCCGTGCCGGTGTCCGCCGGCGGCGGCGCTGAGGCCGGGCGCCGGGCGCCGCCGCTTGCAGTTCGTGGGCATCACGTACGTGCTGACGGTGCTGTGGCTGCTCGTGTTYGCCTGCTCCGCCGTGCCCGTCTACATCTACTTCAGCACCTGGACCACGTGCCAGTCCATCGCCAACCCCAGCAAGACCTCGGCCAGCATCGGCACGCTGTGCGCCGACGCGCGGATGTACGGTGAGCGCCCCGCGCCCCAACGGGCAGCCATTCCCACCGGGAAAAACCGCCCCGTGCCACGCGGGATGCATCCCGCCTCACGGGCGCTCGTGTCTCGCCAGGCGTCCTGCCCTGGAACGCCTTCCCCGGCAAGGTGTGCGGCGCCAACCTGCTCTCCGTGTGCAAGACCAGCGAGGTGGGTGTCCCGCGGTGCCCGCCGCGCGCGGTGCCCCCGCGGCGCTGGCGCTCAGCGCGCGCTCCCCCTTGCAGTTCCAGATGACTTTCCACCTCTTCATCGCCGCCTTCGTGGGCGCCGCCGCCACGCTGGTCTCGCTGGTGAGGGGCGCGAGGGCGGGCGGGGGGTCACTGGGGGCAGAATGGTTATTTGGGGCAGTACGARGTGTGGGGGGGCTGGGGCACATCTGGGGGGGCTGCGGGAGGCACCGCTCAGCTCGGGTCCCGGGGCCCCCTTGATGAGGTGCCCGGTGCCTTCCTCCCGCTCACGCCGTGCCCCAACCGCAGCTCACCTTCATCATCGCCACCACCTACAACTTCGCCGTCCTCAAGCTCATGGGCCGAGGCACCAAGTTCTAGCGAGCGGCCGGCGCCCGCCGCCGCCTCCTCCGTCCTCCGCTAACCCCGAGGCTTTAACACTGCCGCCGGCCAGCGGGCCCCCTCTAACGCTGCCTTTGCCGCCAGCCGCCCTCCTCCTCCTCCTCCTCCCCRCGCGCTCTCCTCCCGCCRCCKCTCCGGGGGCTCCCGTGTGGCCGCCGGAGCGCCGGGAGCCGCCGCCGGCAGCGGGATGAGCCGGGAGGACGCGCGGGGCGGGAGGCTCCGCAGGAGGGACCGGGAAGGCGGCCTCGAGGCGCTGCCGCTGCTGGACGCTCTCCGGGAGCTCCCGCCGCCCCCGGAGGGAAAGGGAAGGATATTTTTCCCCATCCTCGTGCCAAGAAAGGTGGATTCCGGCCGCCGCCAACCAAGCCAAGGGGCGTCAGGGCAAGGATCTTCCCGTGGCGAAGAGAGCACTGACCCCCATGTCCACGGATCCCGGAGACCGGCAGGGCCCAGCCTGGCACCAGGGGCTCCCCGTGACCCCCGGGACTTTCCCCTCCCGACTCGGGATTCCCGGAGCAGCGTCGCGCTCCGTCCCGCTCCCATTTGCCCCATTGCAATGTCGTATTTTGGGGGGGGGAAAATCCGTGTCCGGGCAAGCGGCCGGCTCCGACGCACAGGGACCGGAGCAGGACGGTGCCGGGAGCCACGTGGGCTCCTGCCCGCTCCCGCGGGGCTGCCGGGGGGTCCTTTCCTTTGTGTTTTGTTCTTTTCTGGTGAATTTAACAGCAAATAACCGCCCCCCCGCGCCCTGCGCACACACACGCACACGAGAGTTAATCGACTGAAAGTGTTTCCTGCCTCTCTCCTCCAGACCTCGTTAACAAGCAATAAAGAGAAAAACAAACAACCGAGCAAACGAAAAAGGAGGGCGTTTTTAGAGCCTTTACCTGACCGGGTGTATTTTATAAGAGTTAAGGAAAATAAATTAAAATTAAGACCACTGTGAAGCAGACGCGCGTCCATCCTTCCGTGCGCCCGGCCCCTCGTGCTGCCTCTCGCCTGCTCCAGGTGACCCCCRTGGGCTCCCCCCAACCCTCACCCACGTCCCCATGGGGGTCTGTACCCCCTTCCCAGTGCCCCAATGTCCTTCCCTGCTGGGGAGCCCTAAAAATCCCCGGTTTTGCCAGACGCAGGATGGGCTCAAGGCAGCCCATTGCACTAGGGCTGCCGATGGGACATCCGCAGTGGCCGGAGGCTGCGTGGAGCCCGCAGGGATGGGAGCCCTGGGAACGCTGCCGGGAGCAGCCTGGGCGGCCCCGACGCTCCCGTTTGGTGGCTGGTGCCACCAGGAGCGAGCGGAGCCTCCCACTGGGGACACGGGCTCRCGGGCAGCGCCGATGCCAGGGCTGCTCCTGGCCCTGATCCCCGCTCCGGTTCCCACAGCCCCCCGGGCGCATCCCGGCCCCCTGGTGCGTCACGGACCCTGGGTGAATCCCAGTCCTCAGGCGCATCCTGGTCCCCCAGGGGCATCCCAGTGCTCCAGGTGCATCCCGGCCCCCCAGGCGCATCCCAGCTCCCGGGCGCATCCCGGCCCGTGCGGGTCCCCAAGCCGCAGCCCCGTGGCGGGTCCCRCGCGTGGCCCCGCGCGCCCCGGCCCCGCTCAATGGGGCGCTTTGTCCCCCGCGCGGCCAGATGCCACCGGCCGGCGCTGAAAGGGCCCCTGTGTGCGCGGGCGGCCAACAACACCGCGGCTCTCGTGGCGGCGGCGGCGAGCGCTGCGGACGGCAGCGCGGGGCCGCGCGCGGAGGCGGACGGCAGCGCTCGGCCACGCTCACGGTGTCCCCCGGCGCGGCRTGCAGGATGCTCCGGGGCTGGTCCTGCTCCCCCGGGGGCTCCAGGGGACCCCCCGATGGTCACCCCTTGTCCCCATCCCCAGGCCGTGTCCCAGCAAGACCATGGGGCACCAGGCTCAGGGAAGCCCCATTGGAACCAAGGAGGGAGAGGAAGAGGAGGAGSGGGATGGCAGCCCGTGGGGAGGATGCAGAGGTGAGGGTGGCCATGGGGATGGTCCCTGAGGTCTCCRAAGGACAAGGCCACCAAGGCTGCTGCTCTTCCCGGCCTCCCCTCCGCGCGGGGCGGGAGCGGGAGCCGCATTCCCCGTCCTCCGTCTCCTCCCCGTGGCCGCTGCCCGCAGCTCCGTGCAGGGCGGGAAGAGCCGCTCCGGAGCGGAGCAGCAGCCGGGGGCCAGGGGGGCCTGGGGACAGAAGCGGCAGCAGGACAAACCCAGCTGGTCCCATCGGCACCAAATGACACAAACCCAGGGGACAGACGTCGGAAAAAGAACCACCRTGTCCCCCAGCGCCTCATTGGTGCCGGGCGCCCAGTTCCTGCCCTCGTTTTCCCACATCCCTCCGGAATTGCGGGTGTTTGTGGTGACACTGCCCCAGGTCGGGTCCTCGCTGGTCCCAGGGCCGCTCCATGCTGCGCTTCCCGGGGCTGGGAGCAGCTCCCTGCAGGCGCCTCTGCCCTCCCGCTCTCAACCGCGTCTGGGGATGCCCCGAATGCTGGCGGCCCTGGCCAAGCCCCGGCAGCGCCTTCCGAAGGCAGCCTTTCCAGAGCTTTTCCAGGGATCCGGAGCCAAGAGCAGAGCGAGGTTCAGCCGAGGCGACCAGCAGGCTGGGACGGTGCAAACGCAGGGAGAGCCTCCCAAAATAGGGGACCATCTGCAAGGGATGAACGTTTGCACGGCCCCGGCCGCGGGAGCGCAGCAGAACGGTGCCCATATGGCCCGTGCTGCCTGGGCAGCCCATGGAAACCAGCTCTGATCACGACCCGCTGGGGATGGAGGGAGCGATTCCAAGATCACAGCAAGAAAGTGGGTGGTGAGAGCGGTTTGGTGCTGTGAGCCCGGCTGAAAACTAACCTGCAGCGACAGAGGGGAGCAATGTGAAATATTTGTTGTGAAAGTGCTTTCCGATAAACGCCGGAAGAGACAAATCTGCTCCCTGCACTCGGCTGGTAAACGAGCTGTGTTTTTTTAGCTGCTGGAAAAATACTGGATTCTAGCCGGAATCCGCAATGACCAACCGTTCTGTATAAACCAAAATGCCTGGATCCCCTGGCGGCTTTCCCCTGCCAGCTGGTAAAACCAGCGCGGCTCCGCATCCCTCCGGAAAACAGGAGCTGGCTCGAACGTCGAGTGAAAAACCAAAAGCCRCTTCTTGAACTCACTTGAACACATCCATGGTTTATTTGCTTAAATAAAGGTAGGATCCCGGTTTTACAATTCCAGTTGTGTGACGGCAGCGACGACTCCAGCAGCGCGGGCGGACGCGAGGAGGGAAGGGCTCTTGGCGCTGAAGTCCGCAGCGAAGAGCTCGGGATCCGGGCTCCTTGGGAAATTGTGCGTGTAGCAGGTTGAAATAAATTAATCAATTTTAATGCAATACAAAACACTAGGCTTTTTAAATACAGCTTAAAAATATGCAGGCCTAATAAAACAGGGTTTTAAAACGACATCGGCTGTCCAGCGGTGGTTGGGAAGAACAACGCGCAACAGCCGCAGGGCAGGGGTCTGCACAGCCCGTGGGGCAGGTTCTGGAGCGTCTGCTCTTAAAACCARCATGCACCGAGGTCCTGCATGGAGCACCCTGCCCGTTCCCCGGGATCGCAGCTCCTCCAGCTTCCTCTCTCCTCCGGGATCTCCATGCAGATCAAGGCTGGAGCGGCGCAGGGAACGTGCGGACTCGGGGCTGCTACCTGGACCCACCACTCACAGTGCTCAGGATCTCGAAGGAAACATCAGAACTGAAGGAAAAAAATCTACCGAGGCCTGCAGAGGTCAGGGATTATTAAATAAACATTAAATTAAACATTAAAACTAAATTTTCCAAACTTGCAAAACTCTGTTGCACCTATGGAGGCAGAGCCTTCTCTCACTCTCCAAGGGACCCGGTTTTCCAGAGGTTCCCTGCCCACTCCGTGGATGCTGTGGTGCCATCGGGTGCCTTCTGCTTTGCAGAGAGGGGCAGGATCACCCYGAGCTGCCCAGGGGACAAACCCTGTGTGCGCAGGAGCTGCTACGTGGGGCATCGGCTGCCAGCAGGCAGCGCGAGGGCAGAGCCGGCTCTGCTCTAAAGCGCAGCGTAAACGAACCGGCTCATCCGCAGCTTCCTCTGCGCCCATGGAAAAGGGCMTGGGAGCGGGGCCCGGGGCAAACGCACGCACGGGAAGCTGCGGGACATGAGGTTACAATGGGAGAAGAGCAGCCAGGGAGCTCTGAGCTCTGCTGCATGGACAGCTTGGGAGGAAACCCAGCAGGGGCAGGAGCCGGGACTAGCAAAGTCCGGGCTCCTTTCTCCAAGGTTTCCTGCTCCTTACGTTCCATGGGCAGAGGTGGAATGAGTGCAGAGCYCCCCTCAACAGACAGGGATAAAGCAGCCATTAACGCAGGCCAATTAACCGAAGGCCAATTAACCGTGTGGGTAATGTGTGTGGGACGAGCTCGGGAGAAGCGCTGGACTCCCCGGGCGGCCGTGGGGGCGGTGACAGGGAACAGCCCGAGCGCCACATCCGGAGCCCAACAGCCCAAAGCGACCGCGGACACTGACCCATCCAACCAAGGGGACGGATAGGACCAGGGCTTCCGCAGCCGACCACGAGCCACTCACCGGGATGTGTCCCGGGACACATCCCACCCACCTCCCGGGCTGCGGGGCTCGTCGTGTGGCACCGAAACCACCTGTGACAGAGCCACGAGCTGCTCCGGGTTCAGGTTCCCAACCTGCTGAGTGGCCCTGACCCCTCCGATGGGACCTGGAGGTGGGATGATGGATCGCTGGATGGGTCGCCCTTCCACCCAGGGCGACSCAGCGTGAGAAGCAGCACGGGAGGCTGCGGCCGAGCTCAAACACACACGGGTGAAACAGGAAGCAGCCCGGCTCTCCACCAAGTCACACACGCAGCAGAGGCCAAGTCAGAAGCGGGGAAAACCAGACCAGAAAGAGGCAGCCACAAAGAGCTGCTGCTGCAGCACTCGGCCGCGGTTCCTTCTCCTTCACGGGCCGTTTCAAAGCATAGCACTAACAACTCGTGACACAGCTGGGTCTCAGGACAGGCTGCTCTTACCCGGAGCACCCAGTCACTCCAGCATTTGCATTCTCAGAGCTGCGTGGGCTGAGGCCTCCCCAGCAGGGTTTGTTCAGCCTTTCCTCCGAAGGGAGGTCATGAGTTTAGTGCGTCTGCTGTTTTTCACTTTGGGACTGCAATACTGCTCGGGGAGTCTCGAGCCCTCCCAGCTCTGCTCTGCATGCAGGTCTTGGTAAAGATGAGATTCGCTCTCTTCAGCACCACCCAGGCCTTTCAACCTGCTCAAAACAGGTGGAGATGGAAGCAAGACGCGTTCTTTGACAGCTCCCTCCTGGCAGCTTTATCCCTGTGCCTGAAAACCCCAGCTGGAATTCGGACGGAAAAGCTGCAGCTCCTTGGGGAGCTACCCAGGATTGTCCTCGGGGCGCCTTCCTCAGAGCAGCCGCTCACACCTACCCCGCTCCAGCCGCTGGGTCGAGGGAATTTCTCCAAGGGGCAGCCGCTCTTAACAACAGGAAGACCCGGATTTGGAGCTGGAGTGCAGGTCAATGGTGTGGCCCAGCATACAGTGCTCTAGCTGCTCCTCTACTGCCAGCACCTGCCGCACGGCTTCCTCGAAGGCCACGGCCACGTTGGTGTCATCCTTGGCGCTGGTCTCCAGGTACGGATAGTTCCCATTTTCCAGGCACCAGCTCTGCGCCTCCTCCGTGCTCACCTGCCTGTCGAGTTTGTCTATCTTGTTGCCAAGGACCACAAAGGGGAAGCGCTCGGGGTCCTTCACGTCGGCGTAATGGACAAACTCCTTCTGCCAGTTGCTGAGGTTCTCGAAGCTCTGCCGGTCGTCCACGCTGAAGGTGAGCAGGCAGCAGTCTGCCCCCCGGTAAAAGGGCGTTCGCAGGCTCTTGAATCTCTCCTGGCCTGCAGTGTCCCAAATCTGGAGGGTCACGAAGCGCCCGTCCACCTCCAGGTCCCGGTTCAGGAACTCCACGCCGATCGTGTGGAAAGCCTGGGAGTCGAACTTGTTGGTGACGTAGCGGTTCATGAGGGAGCTCTTGCCCACTCCCCCRTCCCCGAGGAGAATGACCTTTAAGAGCAGCGACTTCCCGCTCATTGCAGCAGGTCCGAGGGGCGCGCGGCGGGCGCGACCTACAGCGTTCGGAAAGGGGACAACAGAGCTGTGTGAATCGAGGATTCCACGGAATCACTCAGCTCCGGCTCCTGTGCTGACAGGCTGACGTCTCCACACGTATCTCGTACAGCTGATGGAAAAAACACCGAGTTCCTGAAATCCCCCCAATTTTTCGGTTCCCCTTCAGAGATGAAGCCCCACAAGACCGAGACCGTGCAGCAAGCTGGAAAAAAGAGGGCACGTTTTGTGCTCCTCGCAGTTCCAGTGCTATTCCCTGCAGTTTTAGGAAATAAATGGAAGTTTACTCTGGATTTCAAGCTAAGACTTAACAGGATCCTTCTACTATTATGCTACCTTTACATTAATTTGGGAAATGTAGAGCAGAACTCCCAACTTTGGGATTTTGCTGGGGATAAACAGGAAAGACTGACTAGAATGAGGCCATTTCTCAATCAGTTTTGCAAATATGAGGAAATCTCTTACTAGAGCAACCAGTAGAGCCAGCAGTTAGGCAAGCTTTGGGGCACACAAGTCTAAATGGAAGCAGYAGGTCTCCAAACTAAGCGCAAGTTGAGAAGCTTAGTTAAATGTCATATAAATGWTTAATATCTAAGAGAAAGTTTGGTGTTCCTGAAAGCTTATCTAGCTTTCACAATCATTTAAGCATTAGTTAGAAATCTTACCTTGCCTATGCCCTCAGAAACAGCAAAATATCCCTGGGGATGTCCATCACCAGCCCTTTGCTGTCATCATACAGTCACTAGCTATTCCACTTGTTCTGTCTGACGTGCTGTACTGCAGGGATGTAAAAGATGTGCAGGCCTAACATGGACCTAAGCCATGAAGCAAACCATCCGAAGGGTCCTGAAATGCTGACTCACCTTCCAAGCGGAGCTGCCCGCGTTTCCCGTGCGATCTCTACAGCTCTGAGGGGTTCCCCAGGTCCAGGGATGGCTCCTCTGCTCCTCTTCCYGGCCGTGCTTTTTGCAGTCCAGTCTGCGAGACAACAGATGCCAGCTCAGATGCATCAACCCCAGGCACAAACAAAGGGCTCCCGGGAGTGCTCTGCAGGTCGGGGAAAGGCCTTACGTGGAAGGAGAGGTCTGTTTTGCTGCTGGCTCTCAGCACCTGCTCTGGAAAAACAGCCCTTGGGTCTCCAGAGCTGCCCAGGGAACACCCTCTTCCGGCATGTCAGCCTGTAAAACACAAACAGGGAGGCTGCCAGCGCCGGCTCCACGCGCCGCCTTCCTTCCAATTCATAATATTAAGCAGCAGCGAAGCTGAGCGTGCAGCTACTGATRACAGGAGTGAATCAGCCAAGAACAAAGTGCTGAGGACACAGTTCCTCCTGCCTTGAGTAAAACACAACACTTCTCATTTCTCACCAGCGCAGGGACAGCGGATGCTGAATCTGAATCAGAAGGGGACAAGCTGAAGGCCCAGGCCACAAAACCTGTGTCTCACCTCAGCCCTGAGGACGTCAGTCCTGCAGGAAGCTGTCTGCTCGGAGCTGCTTGTCCTGCCTACCCACACGCTCCGGAATCCGATCMGAGGACTGAGCTTGTGCCCAAGGCTGCTAACCAAAAAAATGAGGCAGCTGCTRTGGGGAAGACCAAGGGATTTTGCTCACACACCTGCTGGCAGCATTCCTAGCAAGGGTGCGGACACGCAGCGCTGCCACCACACCAAGCTCCGAGCAAAGCACAAGCCCTTCTGCCTCTGCTGGAAGCAGCACCCTTTTCCATTCACAGCAAATACCACTTTTTTTTTGCATTAGCCCTGATGGGTTCTGTTTTTCTTGGGTTTCCTTTCTCTGTTCAGAGCAATTGCAGCCAGCATTTGCCACAAAGCTAAAAGCAGTAACTTCTGTTCAGCTCTGTGGGCAGCAAAGAAACTAAGTGCAGGCTCCCTGAYCTCACTGATTTCACTTCTCCTGCACAAAAATACCCCAGGCCAGAGCCGCGTCGCGCCAACTGAACTGCCTGGATGGGTCTGGGGACGTTTCAGAAGCATCCGTGCAACCAMGTGGCTTTAAGGCAAAGAACAGAATGACAAACGTCAAAAGGGACAAGCAGGMACTGCAGCATCTCTCCCTCTGGGCTGATGATTTGGGATAATTTGCCTCTCCGTAGGCTAGCCCTTCAGACCCATTGCCCTCCCTCTCCCAACCCCTTGCTGAAGGGGATAGAAGCTGGTCCTTGCCCCATCTCCCCTCTGCCCATGCCAAATCCCTCGGGAAACAAGTCGTCAGCCCCGACAGGAGTTTCCATGCAGAAAAGCTTTACGGCAGATCAGCAATGACTAACAGTGACGGATGTTTTCCGAGCGTCTGTCGGGTTGTTCCAGGCTGCTCCTCAGCCTGGCGGGCGAGCAGGGTGCCGGGAGGGCACCGGCGGGCASCCTCCGTGCGCGCACCCCGTGCTGCGTTACTGTTCCAATCTGTTCACATGGACACAAGCGGGCGCATCCAGGACGACGGCACCTGTTTGGAGACAGAAGCAGAAGGGGGATGAGTGCGGGTGCCACGGAGGGCCCCGGCTCAGCCCAGCTCTGGGTTTTGGCTCCGTGTTGGCAGCAGCTTCTCCGGGAACCTGTCCGGGCTGCCAGGCACTCAGGCAGGGCCGGCTCCCCCCATGGACCTCCATGATCTGGAAGCGGARGAGAGAAGGGGGACGGGGCCCCTGGAATGTTCCCGGGAGGAAGAGGGAYGGGGAGACCCCCTGCACGAGGGAGTGCAGGGGGAAGGTGAGGGATAGAGGGACCCTTGGTGCCAGGGGGATGCCCAGGGAGGACGGGAATGGGAGGTGGGCAGGGAATCCCAGAGACCCTCAGCGCTTCGGGAGGGGCGTGGGGGGCACCACATGGACCTGCCCAGGGGAACTGGGGGTGCCCCTCAGGGAGGGACGGGGGCATCCCGCAGCCCCATCCATGGGGAACAGGGATGGTGGATGAGGGTGTCACCATCACCCCCTCAGGACTGCCCAGGGGCGACCGGGCCGCCCCACAGCCCCTCGGGGCTCCGGGA